TGTTTGCATGTAAAGTGGCCAAAAAAACTAAAAAGAGGGAAAAAAAAAAGACACCTGCAAAAGCACACAGCATGCCAGCAGACAGGTGCTGTGCTTTATCATCTCAGTGCATGGTGTAGCTGTCACTGGTGCAGCCTGTCTGCTTCACTCTTTTTCTTCTTTGATGCCCAGGATAGGGATTGTTTCTTCTTCATCATGAATAACCCCCCTCATCCTCATCCAGGAGGAAGGAAAAATAGATGTCTCCATCCCAGTGCTCACAATCAAATCAAACAATCCTCCCAGGGACAAACTGGGACGCTCTCCAGCCTGGGAAGATGCTTGTGGAGGTATCAGTACTGCAGGGCCGAAGCACAGCCAGCTCCATGCACATCCAAGTGAACAAGGCAAAGGCTGAGACCCAAAGCTGTGCAGCTGCAGCAGCGGTGCTGCTGTGTCAGAGCTAACGAGCACGGACAGCAATTTCCTTCTGCTGCATCCCAAACCCCTCCAGTCACAGTTACAGGATGTGCCATGAAATTTGTATTATGAAGGAAATATTCCAGACTGAAATCTATCTGTACTGAGTTACTCCAGTAGTGCCTAGACCTAAATCTGCAGTAGCTAAAGATACGAGTAATGCCTATGGGAGCTGCATTGTATCCTGAAGGCCCTAAACCAGAGGCAAGCGTAGGATGTGGGAAACAAACTGAAGTTTGGGGTAAGCAATCGGGTATCTTCCTTTCCAACAACCTGCAGAGAGAGCCCAACCAGAGCGATAAACCCAGAGCTGCTCCCCTGAGCCACAGACGTTGACGTTGCACCTTTTACCCTCACAGACATCTGATCCTTCCACTGTTCTCAGTGATACATTTCCTCTGCGAACACTTGCTTTGCAATAGTTTGTGCTTTTGCTGCCAGACGGTCTTTTGGTTTTTTTCCCCCCCTCAGAATTAAAGATTAACAATTAAATTATTTGACAGGGGAATAGAGGCCCTGTGCTAATTAAATTCCTTGGTCTCTCCTCTTTGCAGAAGGAAAAAAAAAAAAGATAGCTCTCAGTATCAGCATTCAACCAGAACAGGGCAATGTGTGATGTCGGAGTTAATTAGATGGGCGGCCATGGGCACAGTGAAAAAAACAAAAAAGAAAGAAAAAGATTAAAATATTTCATGAGGGACATATAAATGTTGGGGGGAAAGAAGGAAACAGCCAACCAGGGAGCTGAGCAAACTGACACGCCAGACTGCAGCAGGCCCACCTTCTAAGCCAAATATCTGTTTATAAGAATATTTCATCTGTTTAGCCGAAACAATAACGCAGAGAGACAAAGCAAACAGTGCTTGCGTAGGCTGGGAGAAACCAGGAGCAGGTTTCCTGCAGAGCTTGACTGCTCCATTTTAAGGAATGCAATCCTTCAATGCCCTGAGCAGCTCAGTGGTACAATCACCAGATTCCACCCTTCTGTTGCCTGCTGTTGGGGGCTGCTCACACGCCAGCACCGATACCACAAGCACCGTCCCCGTGATGCAACCCTTTCTGTTGTTGTTACTGTGGTGATTGCGTGATGGCACTTTCTCAGCCAGATCCACTAGGGATTGCACCACTGTAAATAAGATTATCTGCTGTTTGGCTGCTGATAAAATGCACCGAGGCACTCAGCTCAGGCAAAACTGCACTGATGCAAGCTTCTCCCTCTGTGTTTTTGCTTTCTTTTGCCTCTTTCTGTTTATGCAGAGAGTAATTTTCTTTTCTCTCTGAACACAAGAACCTACCCTAAAGTTCCAGTTCTCTTTCATCATCAGTAACTTCCTAATCACTGAGATTTCCATCTCCTCATCTCAGACAGGCCAGGAGGTGACCAGTCCTAGGGGAATTCCAATGGCGCTTCCGCATGAACTAACAGACAGAGAAAACCCCAGAAAGCTCCCATGGGAGAACCTGGCCAGGACAGATCTGGAGGAGAACAGAACTGAAGGCTTTCTGAGTGCAGTCTGAGCTGCTCTGAAGGCTGTAAATCCCAACTGTCACACCCAGAGTGAAAATTCCAGGGCTACATTACATACATCTCATCTCTACAAATGATGGTGGGGTGGGCCAGCCTCTGTTTTATGTCATTATGGCTGACCTAGAATGTAGATACACCTATCTGCTGCTGGAAATGTTTTGTTAGCTCCTCATCCTTTATTGTCAAGTCTGAGGGGAAGTTGTTATCCCTAGTTTTAGGAAAACGTTAAGTAAACAGACACAAACAGGACAAAACTCAGGACTTATCATTCCTAGGTCACTGCGGTACAACATACAAGTCAACACAGCTCCTAAAACAAACACCAGGAGGCATAGAACCATTCCTGGCAGTTCCAGCACATCCCCAGTGGTGCTCACAGAAACTGCTCTTGAGGACGTGCACAAAGCTGCAAAAAGCAGTGGGGCTATGAGAGAGTGATCCTCACTCAGGCATCCAATTTATTAGACATATACTTCCATGCAGTAAATGAGCCTGTGAAATTAATTCTGCTTGCAGAAAGAATCAGAAAATGGCACCCAAGAAGCACCAGCAGTCTTGTTCATTTGAAGCAGTGTCAACACATTCAGCATGGGCTCTCACACTGAGTTTACAGAAGAGCTGAACACCCCTTCCTGCGCTCCTCCACCTCATTTCTTTTTTAAACAAATGCCAGGGGAACTGCAGGTTTTAATTATTTTTTTGCACTTAAAGGTTACTCTCTCTTCCTGCTCCCCACCCCCATTTTTTCCACTTCCATCATTCCTCCAGCCTAGAGTTAACGAGAAGAAATCAGTGTATTGCACTATCTGGCATCTTGCTGCTGAAGTGGCAGGACTTTTTGGTTACCAAGTCATTTGCTGCTTAATTGAAATCTTTTCTCTGGACTCATTGCCATGCAGGCACTCTATCGGAATGCAGCTTTCAAGCCCAGTATTGATCCACCTCCCACTCCCAGCTTTCCTCCTATATGCTTGCAAATCAATTGCACCAGTTTGTTTTCTTTCTTCAAAAAAAAAAGTAAAATAAAATAAAACAATCACCCACTCCACAACCCCATTTCTCCCTGGAACACATTGCTTGGGCTTTGCTTCAGCCCTTAGAGCAGAGATGGGGGCAAGAAATGTCACGTGGCCATTGAAAAATCTAGATCCCCACTTTGTGACACCAACTCCCAGCACAAGTGTGCAACAGCTAAGTTCAGATAAGGTTCAGTCTGGGAATAAGCTGTGAAGACACAAGGGTAAATGATATCCTAGCTTTAGACCCTCATTGGAAATTGTCTGGAATTTATCTCCCCTCGTAGCAGAGGAGAGTGAAAAGGGTTGGAGAACTCTAACAGTAGCAGCTTGCAAGAAGTCAGCCTGCATTTGTGGGTTGGCAAGTCATCATCTGCTAATACTGGAAAAGAGAGCCAGTGCAACACATGTTACTACTGACATCCAATTTAGAACTTGCTGGTTCAAAATGCTCTTGTCAAGGCTCACATAGAAAACATTTGCGTCCTGAGCCTCAGCTCGTTGGCGTTGTTCCAATAGGTCTGAGAGCTGAGTCACATTAATGCCACACACAGAAACTATCTCCAAATTCCTCTGGTGGATCTCATGTCAGTACTCAGCACTACTGTACCAAGAGGCAGTGGGACTGACTTCTGCAGTCTCCTTAGTGTTTTCACCTCAGAAAACACAAAACTTCCCAAAGCGATTCTCATGCTGCAAGAGGACTAGAAGATGATGCAGCTTACTACCTGTGCCTGCTGTAAACATGCTTAGGCCTCTCAGCTGCTCAGCCACAGCAGTTCCCAAACAGCTCTTATACTTAAAAAGCAGGAACTGAAGAGGATGAAACAGTGAACTGCACTTCCTACAGAGCAGCTCTCTGACTTATTATGTATGTGCATTGCAACACCTCCTGTAGGCTTCAGCCAGCAGTAGGCATCTGAACCCACAAGCAGAGACAAATCTTGTCTTAACAGCTGGCGAGTCACTTGTTTTTGTTGTTGTTTGGTTAGTTGGAGTTTTACTTGTTTGTCTGATAATCTGGATAATTTTACACCACAGCTTCAGCCTGGGAAGAGATCTGTGTTTGCATAGATGCCATATATCCACAGGGCAGGAACCAAATGGTGTCTATTCCTGCCTTGGAAGTCAAACCTTCCAGCAAGACCGAGGACAGGCATCTCATACCAGGGGCCACTTGTTCCTGCACAGGAGACCTCCTAAGCCAAAATCACCACCTTTCAGGTCCTGCAGGCTCCCATTTAGTCTGAAGACACACAGGCAGCCTCCATCAGGCTTCTAGAGGGAAAGATTTTCACCTTTGAGATATAAATTACTAGCTTCTGTCTTTCTGCTCTAGAACCATATAACTTCCCAAAAGATTTCATTCCCTTCCATTCTCAGCCTGAAATAAGCACAGTTTCAGAATCAGATTCCATACAACTCCTGGTCCATAGAATGTGTTTCTGTATCCAACAGCAAATGCTGACTTGACCAGGAAGCAGGAGGCAAACACTCCTATCCCCTGCAGTCCCAAATGCTCTGCAGGAGATATGAAATCATACAACATTCATTATGCTTCAAATTCCAGATTGCTCCAACCCTACTTGCCTTCAGAAAATTAGACTGGGTAACAAAAACGCTCCTTGCTATTTGCAGTGTAATTAAGCAGTAATTGCTGCCTAAGGCTAATCTCAGAGTGTATTTTTCCTGTGGAGCTCAGTGCCAAAGTTCACATTTGTAATTTAGTGGCATGCCAAGGATCTGTACCTAAACTCACAAAAGGATTTTCTTCACTCATCTTCTCTCTCCTATTTTGGTGGCAGCTGGGATTCTATATCCAGAGATGTTTGGGCTGGGCAAACAAATTAGCAGAGACCAGCCTCGTTAGGAATCCATGTGGGTACCTATCCTGCCTCACTGTGGGAGTAAGATACCAACTGCCCTGTTTCTGGACCCCAAAAATTCCCCAGTATGGGATGTGCATTAAAAACTCCTTTCTTTCTTTCTACTCACAGCCTGGCAGCTTCCAAAGAAGCTGAAGCAGCAGCACGATCTGCTCCCAAGCCCATGTCTCCTTCTGATTTCTTGGATAAGCTGATGGGGCGGACTTCAGGATATGATGCCAGGATCAGGCCGAATTTCAAAGGTATGCAAGAAAATTAACAGCAAAACAACACTTGCTTTGTAGATTTGTTTCATTATGTGACTGCAGACTGCATGAATACCTCACTGATTGAATACAGAACATGATGTACCTATATGTTGATACAGAATAAGTATGATAATAAGCATGATAATGAGAGATTTGGCATATGGATGCCCTGTGGATGTCTGAAAAGGCATCTTATTTCCACTCAGAACGAAAACAGCCTTTTAACAAATTTACATACAGTATCCATACTTAGATAACAATACAGAAAGAGATGAGGATCCTGCCAGTCCAAGCAGTGACCAGCAGAGAGATGAACCTCTTGCAGGTTAGGAAAAGAACTAGCACCTTCTGTGAAGCTCCTTTCTTATATCTGCAGGAGCCGGAAGGAATCCCTCCCATCAGCTCCAGAAGAATTCAGCCAGCTTTCAGGGACAGCATTCTGCAATGCTCATTTCTTTCATTTTCTTTTGTTCCTTGCCACCAAACCCTCCTCCTTCAGAGGAGTCACTGGCCATGCTAACACAGTACCAGGAACCATTCATCATGGTGACAGCACCTGCCATCCAGCTTCAAACAATAAGCCCTAGTCTGGGCTTTTAAATCCAGGATGAGAAGCTCGTGCCCTAGTAACCAACCAGGCAAGAGAAAGCACTGTCTGGAACACAAAGAGTTAAAAACACTTTGAAAACCGTTACTGAAATATGCACGCACAAAAAAGAAATTAAACTTTAATATTTAATGAAATGTGTACATTATCATCTTGCTGAAGGCATCTGTATTGCAATTTTATTTGAGATAATTTAATTTCAGTTTTATTTCTGTGAACTACACCTTCCCAACAGGGCAGTTTTGCTGGCTTAGCCTCCCACCCATAAATCAAGCTCCAATTTATATGGGACGTATAGGAGGTGTTTTACAGAGCTTGGGGTTGCAGCTCCCAAAGCACGTCGTTAAAATTAACCATCAATAACTCGTAAGGGCACCTCAATGGCTTAGATCTAAATGAAAATAATACCAAAGATCCCTATCAGATTGATTTTTTGGGGAGAGGAAAATTAACAAAAAGATGGCATTTTCCTAAAGTGCTGTGAAGGCTGAACTTAGTTGTGGATTTACATTTTGAGAAATAAGGAAAGTGTATCCAGACTTCTTGTTAAGACAGATGATGAAGTCCTAGAGGAGACTCAGGGGAGATCCTATAGCTCTCTACAACTACCTGAAAGGATGTGATAAGGTGGGGTCTGCTTCTTCTCCCATATAACTAACAACAGGACTAGAGGGAATGGCCTCAAGTTGCACCAGAGGAGTTGTAGGTAGGATCTTAGGAAACATTTCTTCATCAAAAGAGTGGTCAAACACTGGAATGGGCTGCCTGGGGATGTGGGGGGAGTTCAGTGACTCCTCTGGGAGTTCAGTGAACACCTGGAGGTGCTCAAGAAACATTTAGATGTGGTACTAAGGGACATTATTTAGTGGGGAAATATTGATGTTAGGCAGATGGTTGGACTGGATGACCTTGGAGGTCTTTTCCAACTTGGGCAACTCTATGATTCTAAATCCGTAACTCAGGCAGTGACAGACCTGGACCCAGGTGGTGTGAGACAAAGAACAAGGGCTGTAATAGCCTTAACCCCACTGCTGGAAACTTGGATGCCTCTGCAACCACATCCCACTGCACAGTGGTTATGCCTCCATGGCAGGCAGGAAGGCTCCTAGAGTCTAATAAAAACCTGTCTAAGAAAACTCCTATAAATAATAAAAAATAATATATATATTAAAAAAAAAAAATAGTTCAACCTGCCAAGTGCTCACAGTGAATGCAGCATGAAGAGCACAGTGCTGAAGGGGGATCTGTATTGTCTCAAGGGGGGATCCAGCCCCATAGAATCATGGAATCATTCAGGCTGGAGAAGACCACTAAGATCACAAAGTTTAACCCCAACCCACCCCCAGTGACCACGTCCCTCAGTGCCACATCTCCACAGCTCTCAGACACCTGCAGGGATGGTGACTCCATTACCTTGCTGGGCAGCCTATGCATCACTGCTTTTCCTGAGAGGAAATTTTTTCCTGATATCCATGCACTGGACTGAGCTCTGTCCATGCTCAGACTCAATGTAGCACAGGATCAGGATAACCAAGGCCAGAATCTTCTATGTATACCAGAAGCACAAGCATGTGCATTTATTGAGGATGTTAGCTCAGTGGTTTTCTTATGCTGAGGCCATTAGGAAGGGAAACCACACGTATGTTGACTTTCTGTAGTTCACAAGCTAGATGCAGAGAAGCATCCTCCTCCTCCTGAGCATTATAGCAGGCATAAAACAAGTGCTAAATCCTGGTCAGATGTTCACTTTTAGCTGCTGGATAAGCTGCCAGCAGAAGAGTTGATTAGCTCCAGACCTTTATTATACAGGCTCATTAAAAGCAGGCCTGCCACAAGCCAGTTGGATAGGAGGGATAGCAAACAGGGGAAGAAGAAACAGGCACCATTTTGTATCTGATATTTTAGCCCATGCTTGCATTTAATCATCTGGAGAAGGAACTGAGCAGATTGCACACCCTGGGAGCTGCTGCTGAGCTGGCAACAAGCTGTCTGGGAGCTGGTTAGACAGAAACGTGCTCAGATTGCTTGGGACTCATATCAAGAAAATCCCAAGCCATGAAAAGCACTGCTGTAACACGGCTGCAGCCTCAGTCCTACAGGGGATGGACAAGAAGTTTTAAATGAGGCCAAAGCAGGAGATGGGGAAAGGAAACAGGAGAGCAAAGCAAGCTCCTGCGTGGAAATGAATGATGTGCTTGGAAGAAGTTTGCACTGATTATGGGCACAAGCCTCTTGTTAAAGCACAAATGAATGCTGTATGATTTCATATCTCCTGCAGAACATTTGGGACTGTAGGGGATAGGTGTGTTTGCCTCCTGCTTCCCGGTCAGGTCAGCATCTGCTCTCCTGCTCTCTAGAAGTATCTCATCTGACAGCATCTGCCAGACTGCAGATGTGGCCTCAGAAGGCAAGCATCACTCCCCGAGTACTGCAGAGCCATCAGGCCATGTTTGAGATGCAGACACCATCCCAGTAAAGGATGGTGGAAGAATCTAAAAATTCCCACAGATCTATTTCTTCCCAGGCAACATTGTTATTCATATTCATTGATGCCAATGCCAAACAGACTGATATCCCCCAAACACTAACTACATCCTTTGAATCCCAAAACCGGCCCCTTGACTTTCCTAACGTGTACAGGTTAAACAAAGCCTCATTCTAAAAGCAAAAAAAGGCATGGCTCAAGAGAGGCATGGCCCAAAACCTGGCATTACCTTCACCCAAAACAGGACAGCCAGAAAACTTCTGCTGGCACATCCTGGCAATCTCTCATGCAGCTGTGAGCATCAGCAAACATGACTGTTAGCACATGGGATTATAGCTTCATTGCCCCACCTTTTCCCTAAGGCACACTGCTTAGTCCTGCACTAGGTCTATAAAGATCAGAGGGTCCTAATCTGGACATTCAGAGGGAAAGACAAAGACAGAGCTCTAAACACCAGTGCCATTCAGTAGTCTGTTGGCTCTTTCCAGTGCCATTATGTTCAAGGTGAGCTTAGCACCCACACAGCAATGTCAAGATATCTAAAAAGCAGTCCTGCCAGGCTGTGATCTATTCATTTTCATCAAAACAGTTTACAGAAGAGGTATATAAACACTCATCCAAACAGTGGAGCAGAGGTGAAGCAAGAGCACTGCCTGACGTCAAACTGGCGTCAGATCCAAGGCTAGACTCAGCCGGGTCATCCACACAGTATTCCCAACCTCACCTCTCAGCCCCACAGCAAGCTTCAATATTGCAGAGTGGAAATATTTTGTCTTTTAAGCACACAGTGAAGTGCTGTTCCAATCTGTATTTGTCATGCAGGCCCACCAGTGAATGTCAGCTGCAACATTTTCATCAACAGCTTTGGTTCGATTGCAGAAACGACTATGGTAAGTAAAAATCACAGCACAGCTGTTCTGCTACTGGCTCGGCCTCATTGCACTCCCAGCCAACACAGCATCCTTTGCCTTGGTGTAACCAGAAGGAAAATGTCTCTGTATTCCCAAGTTTACCTGAGGTTTGAGTAAATTCCTGGCCATCATGCACTTCTCTCAGGTTAAGATCACAGTTCATTCGCAACTCTATGAAAACATTGCACAGGCAAAGTATAAAGGTGAAAAAAGGGAACAAATGAAGTATTTCCTAAAACCTTGACCAAGACTCCAAGCTCCAAGACAGCTGCAGCAGCTTTGTATCAAAGAGATCACAGAACATTGATTCAAATCTCTTAAATGAAAGAAAAACAGCTGAATTCAAATCCAGTCTGCAACAGATTCCATATTTGCAAAGATCAGGAGAATCACTAGATTTGGATTTTCTGGGAGACATTAGAAAAATCATTGCCTAGCAGAAGTTTTTTTTCCTTCTCTTAAATCAATATCTGCAAGTTAAGGCCAACTTCAGGCAAAATTAGTGAACGTGGCTAAAAGCTTGATCTAATTGGCAAGGCACTAGGAGGAGAGAATCAGGAGAACAGGAGATAATTGCTCCATCTGAAAACTGTTAAAGATTGGTTGTGACATGATCAGTGAACAGCAAACAAAAGCTCTGGAGGTGCAGTACTTTAGCTCTGTGCTAATTAAAGATAATCCAGAAATATGTGTTTAATTACTCTTTGGTAATTCTTTACCTAGGAAGTGGCTGAACAAAGCATGAACAAAGACCTTACGTATGGGTCAGACCCCCTGATGCTAAAAGTTCCTTGTAACGCACACCACAGTCAGAGGACATCAACAGCTATTGTACACACACACACACACACACACAGTTATGAGTCTCTTCTAACACTACTCTTCATGCTTTTCTTCTGGCAGTGCTTGGGGTGGGAGGAGTTCAGTCCCAGGAGTATAAAATGGCCACGACTCTGTCCAAGCTCAAAGAAGTAGGTGGGTTGCAGAATGTCAGAGATTACAGATGGGAAGTGGACTCCTGGATTTATACACAACGTAAGAGAAAGAACTAGAACTGAAATACACCTCCGTTCCGTTCCCAGTTTACTGTTTTATTAGATACACCCTGTGATGTTACAGGCAGTTCTTCACAATTCAGCAGGGAAAACCCACAGACTGCAAGAGAGAACGGCAGGCCCACAAGGGATCCCTGTGAAACATACAGAGCACATTACACAGTGACATGGTTTTTTAATGTATCTGTCCTACGCCTCAAGATGCATTGGAGCTGTCATACAAAGATGCCACAGCATCCCTGTAAGAAGGATGATTCATCAAATTAGCATGAAGTAGCACAAGAATGAAATGCAATTCACCTCCAAGACATGCTGCAGGGTCTTGCTATCCTCTCCAGATGCCCCCCATTTCATATTCTATCTTCCGTAAAAAGAAATTCCCATGGGAACCCAAGAGCACCCTCTGGGCACATTGCTTTGTCTAGAAATACCCAAGCCAGCTCTGACAAGCTAGTCCAGATGTCAGGCTGACACAACACTGCACACAACCTGATATAATGCACTTCTTTGGGGACTGTGTTCTCTCTTGTAAATGCTGACAAGGACACGGACAACACAAGTACTGAAGCATTTAAAAATGAGGACCCAGCAAATAAGTGCAGTCTTTAGGATTTGCTAATTTGGGATTTACCCTGCAGAGAAGCCAGGCTCTCTTTGCAGCAGGTCCAACAGGCAATGCCAGCTCCCTGCCAACATTTTTTGGAAGGGAGGAAGGTCCTGTTGTGGAGCACTTGAATTGGAACAAGTAATCAAATTAGGGAGAAAAGTAGTTTCAGTGCATAAAGAAGGACAAAATCCATCACTGACTTGCAGGACTGATGACAATAAAACTCCACCAACTGCTTCAGTGATCACAAGGGAGGGAACAGCTTTGTGGTTTTAAGAAATCACAGCCATTAGGCACCCAAATGTTGGCTGCATTCAGGCCCAGGAATGCTGCATCATCCTATAATTTCCACTGGTAGACTCAGGAAGAAACAAATTTTTATAGGCGCCACAAATGTAATTAGAGAAAACCTTTAATCAGTAACGGCACTTCTAGTTCCTACACAAAACACTACTGTTGGTATTTGAGTTTACAGCAACTGAATCTTCCAAATCATGAGATCACCAAGCAGAAGGTTAGAGAGGTTGGAGGTGAAGGTTCCTTTACAGCTTAAAGCATCACAGGAGTTAGAAGAGGAAAAAATTCCACGTAGAGAATGAAGTAAGCATTTGGCATGGTCACTACTAGTGCAAGAGCACGTCATCAGTAGGGTAAAACTACTCTGTCTCATGACAATCTAATCTGAGCTCATGTTCATCATTAGTAGGCAAACAATTTAACACTTAAGGTCTACAGACCTCAGAGGGGAGGCAGCGGGTTGCAACTAAGAGAAGGCACGGAGCTCCCAACAGGTGCAGAAAGCTGGCCTCTGTTCCACAGAAATTCTAAAAGAATCGGGCAAGAAATGGAGTTCTAGAAACTCTGGCAAAGAGAGGAGGAAATAAATACAACAGAAAAAAAATAAGGGTCATCCACCATATTGAAATCCCCAAAAGAAACCTGAATTCTTCCCTAAAGCAAGGGAATTAAACTCCTTTCAGCATCCTGAAGAGCTGGAAACCAACCATAAAAGCCTTTAGTGATGCCCATAATTGATGGGACATTTATGCTAAATTGTGGCTCATATAGTATACTCATCAACCTTGCTTGCATTCAGCTCTAAGGACAAGGGAGCACATAATTGGGAACATCTCCCTGAACCAAGCAAGTGCATCTATTGGAAAGACACTACCAGATATAGAAGGCAGATGGGTCCAGACAGCCTCCTTCTGTCCCAAAGCATTACTACAATAAAGCATCCAACAGCAGGGGACTCCAGATGACAAACAGAGGATGCATCCACTTTATCAGCTTACTTTTATTTTAAAAACAAACTAAAAGAAAAAGAACAAAAGCGCTTTTCTTCCACTCTCACCAGAGTAGGAAACCTATAGCAAAGCTACCAAAATCATTCCAAAATGAAACAGAAGTCAAGCACCCAGGGAACAGTCTCTTTTTGCCAGCGAATAAACAATTCAGGATTATCTGAGCGCTTCATCTAACAAATTTCCTACTATAACGAAAGTCTTGGAATGAAGTGATGCCCCTGATCTCTTTTCCTGTGGAATTTCAGTTTTGTTCATAGACATCTAGCTGGCCTAGGCAGCTGGGAATATTTTCTCTACAATGAAGGCTCATAATGAAGGAGAAATATTCTTGGATATCATCACCTCAAGTTGTCAGGAGCCGAACTGAGTGCTCAAAGCAACTCCTCCCCATCCCATATTTTTAAAAGGGCTCACAAAAGGCTACAGAACTATCAGCACAGTCTCCCTCAGACACAGCACACGTATGCAAATTTACCCTTGCTGATTTCATGCCATAGTCATCCTGTCTAAAAAGAGCAAATCAGATGCAACCTTCCAAACAGCTGCAGCACAGCCACATTTGCTCTCCCAGCACCTCCTAAGGACAGGAGAAGCAAAAGGCTGCAACCGTCCAAATGCAAAATACTTGTTCACAGACATCTGCACATGAGCTTCCCAATCAGATTATTAACTATCCCCACAGCAGCAGAGGTCCAGCACAGGCTGCTGCCAGCAGCCCGAGGGGGGAGATTCCCCCGCTTGCTTGAGAAGCCCAGTAAAGTTTCCAGCACCAAAAAATGCACCTACGAAACATCAAGACACAATTTCTGCCCCTCACCACGCACTTACTTTCCATCCAGCAGCAGTCCCTCCTCAGCAGAGCCTCCTACAGCCATCAGGCAGCTCCCCACTGCAAATCTGGAACCAGCTGCAGCTGTGTGGGGCTATCAGGGCCTCATTAACCCAGCCATTGAGAACCTCCATGAGAACACAGGCTCTGTGCTCTGCCAGCCAGGTGGGAAATTCACCTGAGGAAGTTCAGGCTCTGCTCAGTTCAGGCTGTTTCTTCCATCAGCACAATGCTGAGTCTGAATCAGGGGCTGAAAGCTTTTGGGTTCCCTGGCAGCCCCCATTCCCTCAACTCACAGCCCTTCCCCAGCCTGCCACACACTGCCCAGCAGGTTCTGTGGTCGTGGTGCCCTGGCAAGGAATGGTCTCAAATGACCTTCCATCTCCTTGGCTCCCTGTGAGGCCACTAAGAAGAATTTCACTTCAGCACTGTCAAATTGAACACCCTGATTGCTTCAATTATTTTTTTTCCTGCCCTGTGGCATTTCCCTCTTGGAAGCAGAAGGCCTTTGTGCCGTATTGCAAAGCTGGATGCCATCACAAGCCAGGCTTGCTGCTCCCCAGCCTGCCAGAGGAGCGAGCTGCACAAAGTAATCAATGCCTGGATGTGATCAGCACACAAATGAGGGGCTCAAGTGATAAGGAAATGGAGAAAGTTTTTTTTTGTGTGTGTGTGTGTGTGCTGAGTTTGCATCCCCAGTTCAATCCTTTTCTGCTTGAAAGTTCACATCAGAAATTGGCTTGCACTGTCCATCACCTCGCACTGTGGACTTCTTGGTGATGCTAACTAAGATCTCAAACAGTAGCATCCAGGAGAAATGCTGTATAACTCCAGGTGGCCAAAAAATGAGCGTTATTCAGCTCATCACCTCTCAGCTTGACTGCAGTGCATAGGCACAAAGCTCTGAACACACAGGATCCTTTGGCTGGTACAGCCCATACTTCTGGCTGCATCACAGCCTCAGGCATGACATATTTGCTCTCCATGCCTTATGGTGGCACCTCAGGCAGTGTCATGTCCAGTTTGCAATCACAGCGTGTGTTTTCACATTGTATTTAAATAAGCCTGGATGCAAGAAATCTAAAAGGCCGCTCAACATGTCCACTACCACTGCATAGTTCAGCTACCTATCATTAAGGAAAACTGTCTATGAGGAGAAAACCATTCTCCATGGCCAGGCCAGGATTGTGGAATAAAGGTAATGAGAATAAAGACCTTCATACACACACACACAACTGAGCAGCCTCTAGAAGGGTGCGGAGCAGTTTTCACATTCACAACATGCTTCTCGAGTGTTTCCATTTAGGATGCAGCCAGAGGACACACTGCAGATGTTGTCTATGGTCTCACGACTGCTGTAGTGGCAAAGCGAACCACACTGAATCTCTTTTCTCACCTTTTCATTTTCTTTTTGGCAAGTTTTGCAGCCAAAGCAGTGATTTTAGTCTAGCAACAAAGCCTGCATGCAGTAACAGACCACTGTAGAGGGATTGGCTCCTTTCCCCCCCCTTCCAGTACTCCATCAGGCTGAGAACACTTCTGGGCAGCTCACACTGAAGTTGCTTCCAAACATGAGTTTAATTTGTGTTGTACATGACGTAAACCCCCATCTAGAGCTGACCTGCTTGCATCTAGCTTATTTGTAGCTGAATAAGCAAAACAACCTTTTCCTTTCTACCTATTAGGTCAGTGACACTGATTTCCCCTGCCTGCAATGGCTGCAGGTCTTTACACACAGAAAAGGGAGAATTGAAAGTACACAAGTTGCTTAAGGAGCTGCTGCGTGCCCTGGGAAGTGGAGATTCAGGGTTGCTTTCCTCTTTCAGGTCTGCATGACTGCACTAAGATCTTAGTTCCTAGCTGTCCTCAGCTATTCACATTTTCTCGAGGCACATTATCTGGGGGGGACAGAGCTGAATAATTAAGTCAGAGGGAGCCACTAGGACTCATGAAGGTGACATTTGGAATGTCAGCAGAAGGAGAGAGTGTTGCAACTCTTTACATGTTCAGAAGTCTGCTCCTTTTAGCATCAAATCCTTGGTCCATTTGCTGTTGTCACAATCACTAATGTCATTACCAGCTTCTCTGCTCTGAGGACGCAGATGCCACTAAGTGGTCTGAAACAGAGTTCCAGAACATAGGCTATGAACTACCCTGTCCAAAACAGCGAGTCACCCAATACACAATCATCTCCCAACCCTCCAGTGTGACAAGATCTGCAAAACTCACATCCTCCCACAACAGAGGCTGTAGGTTCATAGCTGAGTGAGCACAAGAGGCTGCAGTATCAGCCAGACTCTCCTCCAAATGAACTCTTCAAATCCAGAGCCTTGCGTTCTCCAGATGGAAAGAACAGATCTGATGGCAACATCAGAAAGCTGCTCACAGATGCCAAGCATTGTCTCAGTGAAAAAAAGATCCTAGTGCCTGCATCAGGTATTAGACACTGGCAAGCACATCAGAGCCCTTCCACGACCCATCTCTTAATAGAAGTCTTCAAAGTACATCAGTATAAGAAAGGCACCAAAGAAACCCTTAATCATGATACGAACTATCAGTTTGGGATATGCCAGTGAAATTGGTTTAATATGTGCTGCTCTTTAGAGATAGCTTGCTTCTATACTTAGAAATGTCAATTAATTTATGGACATGGCATTTTCATTCCTCTCCTGATAGCTGGCATGTCCTCTCCCTATTTCAATTTGTTGGCTCACTTTCTTTTGTGAAATTCAGCAGAAAAGGGACATGCAGTTTACCCAAGGAGAACAGAAACTGAGTTTAATTGTCTACAAGAGCATCCAGGACATCTGAGCCAGACCTCAGCAGCCAGCCTTGGCCTGGAGAGCTCAGGGGAGCTGTAAGACACAAGGCTGTGAGGTAGATATCAGTCAGTGTGTTGCTGGGGGACCAGCTACAGCTAAAGATGGCTAGCCCATAAAATCTGCAGCATTTATGGCAATTTAATGTTAGAGAGGGAAAAACAGAACACTCGTGATTAAGAGAGGAGATGCCATGCACATCCCTCCTGTGTTCATACACTCATCAAGGGCATCAGCTCCCATCAGTTCAGGTCAGTTACTGAATTTATATCACAGAATGGCCAGGGTTGGAAGGGACCTCAAGGATCATGAATCTCCAACCCCCCTGCCACATGCAGGGCCACCAACCTCCTCATTTAATACCAGACCAGGCTGCCCAGGGCCCCAACCAAATCTGGCCTTGAACACCTCCAAGGACGGGGCATCCACAGCCTCTCTGGGCAGCTGTTCCAGCACCTCACCACTCTTTCTGTAAAGAATTTCCTCCTGACATCCAACCTAAATCTTCCCTCCCTCAACTTAAAACCATTTCCCCTTGTCCTGTAGTTATCAACCCTTTCAAAGAGTTGATTCCCCTCCTGTTTGTAGGCTCCCTTTAGGTACTGAAGGCTGCAATGAGGTCTACCTGCAGCCTTCTTTTCTCCAGGCTGAACAAGCCCAGCTCCCTCAGCCTGTCCTCATAGGGGAGGTGCTCCAGTCCCCTGATCATCTTCATGGCTCTCCTCTGGACCCTCTCCAACAGCTCCCTGTCCTTCTTGTAGTGGGAGCTCCAGACCTGGACGCAGTACTCCAGATGGGAACACTCCAGACACACACAGGGCATCTCTCTTCCATGGGCTGCCTGTGTCACTGTGTCTTTTTTTTTTTTTAACAAGACTGAAGGAATCATAGATAGACATGATATGGGATGGTTCAATGCTGAAAGGAAGTTGGCTTCAGTGTCCCTCTCCCCCGGTCCTCTGCAACAGTTGTTTTGCTGATACCAGCCCTTATGACAACCGCAACTGAACATTGCTTCTGCAGCCCTGGGGTTAAGACTAGAGGTTCTGACACTTCACACATAGCTGAGTTCTGTGATGGAGTGATGCAGAGTTAGACAGCTGCTCATACTGTGAAATAGCTGTAAGCTACAGAGCTAAAAATATCAGTGGCTCCCTGAGAAATAATACAAAGAAGTCTTACCATAACTTGGGAACATAAGTCTAGATGGGATTTGATTTTGAGAGCAACTTTAGCACGTGCTCCCCATTTCTCAGCATTTTTTATCTGCCCTGAGCACTGACTGTGTTTCTCTGTTCCCTGTTTGCACCATGCAGGATTACAGGGTGAACATCTTCTTGCGGCAGCAATGGAATGACCCACGGCTGGCGTACAATGAATACCCAGATGACTCCCTGGACCTGGACCCTTCTATGCTAGACTCCATCTGGAAACCTGACTTGTTTTTTGCAAATGAGAAAGGGGCCCATTTCCATGAGATTACTACAGACAACAAGCTGCTGAGAATCTCCAGAAATGGGAATGTACTCTACAGCATCAGGTGAGCTGACTGAATGGGGAGAGCTCCAAAAAGATAGGAGAGGGCAGAGCTACATTCCTGATGTTTGACCCCAAAATAGGCAAGTGGACACTTTGAGCATGCCTTTGGGTAAAGGAACTGAGCTGTAATATTTAAAGGAGAACATCCATTAACAGTGTCATAGCAATGTGGTGAGAAGAGACCACTGGAGGCCTCCCATGCAACCTCCTGCCATGAATATGACTATTAGCAAGAGTCAAGGCTCTTGGAAGAAAGTGGACTTCGCCTCACAGACTCAAAGCTCAGTACTGGGTTCACCTAAAAACACCCCTGGGAATTTTGCTCCCTGATCTCTACTCAGAGCACACTTGTCCAGCACGTGTGTGCTGCCCATTGCTGCAGCCACGGTCACTCATTTCATGTCTGGTAGACATTTAATATTAATTCTTCCCAAAGAGCTTGTTCAACAACATAATTCAAGGCTTATATCTCATTGATCAGAGGTGGAGTCCTCTTCCAAAGACGCAATGAAAAAACATGGACAAAGGCTAGTGGAGGCTCTTTTCTACCCAGATATTGGTTTAAAAACAGAAAATTCAGTTATTTTCATAAAAAGAAGTTGTGAACAAGTCAATTCCTTCTTCTGTCACAACATCTTTTGTCACAACGTGTCTCTAAACTCAAGTAGAGAATTTCTCTCAACATGAAGATTTGGGTTAAAATATCTTTCCTTCTTGCTAAGTCCCTCATACATCTGATAGAAAAATTCAGTTCCTATCTTCCAAAAACTCTGCTATTTCTACATTGAGGCAAATAGCTGAAAAATCTAAATGTCTGAAATACATTAATACATCTGAAAATCGAAATTAATCTAAATCTAAATCTAGGGAACGGCATATTATCAAATCAAATAACACAAGTCCAGCTTGTGTTTATATGAATCACATCAACATCATTTCATAACAGCTTGTTGAACTAAGCAAACATTTTGAACGTAGATTGCAGTACAGCACAGCATCACAGCTTACCATGGGAAATGCAGCCAGCACCTAGTGGAAAGGTGAAGCTAGAGGAATCAAGAGGCACAGTGGGAATCCAGAAAGGTACAGTCACAGTGAGTTGCAAAGGGCATTTTCCTTGCATTTTCCTTGCAGAAATTTACATTCGCATCTCTTGTTCCTCCCACAGAAATCTGCCGTCTTGACCAAAGTTCTTTGTTTATTCTGATACAGAAAAGTTCTGTTCAGAGATTTCCAAGCAGCGTCAGTCGCTAGAAATGTATGTTGGGTCCAGAGGACAGGTTTGGGCTCACTGCTAATCCAGACTGTTGTGAGCCTGAGGCAAGAAATGAAGGCAGAGGCAGCAAAACTTTGATGTGGGAGCACGCTCTTCTGCACAGTCCAAGATAATATTACAGTGAAACAGCACCTGCCGTTCCACCAGTCCCTGCCAGGAATTATTTCACAGACCCAAATTCTTGGCATTTCTGATGCTTTCCAACAGAACGTGTGAAAGCACAGGCAGGAAAGGAGTGAATAATCAGTCATTCCCTCCATCACACCAGACAAGTTACCAGCCTGTATGCAACATTTGGCGTCTGAGAGGGTTCAATCCCTCATCAGTACCACAACTGTACATCACTGCCCTTTGTTGTCTTCTCTCCTCAGGATCACGCTGACTCTGGCCTGTCCCATGGACCTGAAGAACTTCCCCATGGATGTACAGACATGCATCATGCAGTTAGAAAGCTGTGAGTCCCATGCACCTCTCCATTTTCAGGAAGAGACAACGTGTTTCTCCTCTCCCCTTTCCATGCCTTCTCCATCCTCACCTGCAACTCCTTTCCTGTTCAGTCTTCACTGGACTCTCCCTGTATGGAAGAGAAAGGCGGGTGGGGAGTTTTGGGACGAGTTTGCTCACTGTGCATGCCTGGGGCTGCTCTCTTTCACCTTTGTTTCTCTCACTCTTCCTGCCAACATCCCCCTCCACAAAAACCACACAATCACCTGCATCTACGTTTTCAGCCAATGCCAGCAATAAGGTTTACAATTAGAGACAGGAAACTCTTAGAACAGATGAAAGCACAGCCTATTTAGATGCCACCAATACAAGAACCAACCTCTAAACTGCCTCAAGCCAGTGTGTGATTAGAGACCCCTACTCTTAGGTTAGCTGCATTTCACCCCATCCTATTGGGATGTTCGTGTAGGATTTTCAATTCATTCAGCATGTAACTTTTCCTAGACAAGCTAAACCTCAGAAGGTCCCAAGAGAGATGCCTGGCTCGCTTGTATTTACATTGGCCTTTCAGTTTGGAGGAGAAAGGTGAAAGTGCTCTCTGTTGCAGATGGGATGTTTTTCTCTCTGGATGAACATTTGCCCCTTGTTCATGATGTTTATCCCAGAGGAGGGAAAGATATGAATAACTTCTTTCAGAGAACGAGGTCAGGTTTGAGAAAACAACAGCTCAACAAGCCCTTTTTCAAGTGAAAATATGACTTACTGCAGACAATACACTGAACATCCCCACAGCTCCAGAGCAGGTCATTACCCTAGCTTTTACCATATACACAAGCAGTTCTGCTTCAGCCTAAATCCCACACTTCACAGCACTGCCAAAACACCAGGTTAAGACCCCATCTCCCAGCTCCCTTCTACAAATGTGTCCCTTTCCAGATGAGTGTCTAGTATGCATTTCACACTGATATTTGTTCTCTCAATAGTTGGCTACACAATGAATGACCTAATATTTGAGTGGCAAGAAAAAGGAGCTGTGCAAGTTGCTGATGGGCTGACATTGCCTCAGTTTATCCTAAAAGAAGAAAAAGACTTGAGATACTGCACAAAACACTACAACACAGGTCAGTGCTGTTTAACCTTTGCTCATGGATTCATCAGAGAGGAACTCAGGACTGTGCTTTACCAGAATCTCTTGCTATGTCTGATAACAGTCTGGTGACACAAGCTTTGTTAGAGATTATATAGAATAAAACATAGAAGCGTAATATAGAAACATGGAAATACAATTAGAAATGAAGATATGTTGCCAATAAAATCGTATAGAAAGAGTCAATAAAAAGCAAATCTGTGGAATCCTCTTGTCCCCAGTAACACCTGTATCAGCTAAAGGATGCTTGGCCTGGACCTTTTCTTCCACCACATTCCTTTGCCTTTAAAGTGGGGGAACAGGTGAAATTTACATGAAAAATGATATACAGCCAACATCTTTCTTTACTATGTCGACGTTATACGTAGTTTAGAACAGGTCAAAAGCTGTTTATTTCCTCCACTAAACCTTCTGGTTCTAGGCAGCGTGAGGAAGGTCCCCAGACGAGAGCTGAGAACAAGAGGCTCACTGTGCCTTACCAATAGCCTTCCATGTGTCTCCTGTCCTTATCAGGCAAATTCACCTGTATAGAAGCTCGTTTCCACCTGGAGCGGCAGATGGGCTATTATTTGATCCAGATGTACATCCCCAGCCTCCTCATTGTCATTCTGTCCTGGATCTCCTTCTGGATCAATATGGATGCTGCACCCGCTCGTGTTGGCCTGGGGATCACCACTGTGCTCACCATGACCACTCAGAGCTCTGGTTCCCGAGCATCACTGCCCAAGGTAAGGGGTGAAAATAATTACCTTCTGGGGCAGCACACGTGTAAGCAACACCACAGATCCTCCTGCTCAACATGAGTTGTTTTGCTGCCATTGCACTATTCCAGTTTAAGGGCAAGCAGAACAAATCCCAATTCCCTCCTATACAATTTTTAACTTAATTTCCATGACAAGGAATAGAGCTTCCCTAAAGAAAATGCTCACCCCAAGATTCTTTTCAGGTCTCAGTAGCCAGGAGCTCTGCACCTTACAACACTTGCAACAAGCAGACATGGATATGCATGCTGCAGCCTGGCTTAAACTCACTTGATCATAGTACTTGTACAACAGCACTAAATTTAACTCTTATGAACATAGTTTGGGATGCTATTTTCCCTGCATGTAAACCATCACAGTGAAGACATGGCTGAATTGTAAACTGTGGAATTACTGCTACTGAATAACACATAAAAAATTTCAGTCACCTGTTAATACATTCATATTAAATGAGATAGACTTTAGTATCCAAGAGCAGTTGTCAACCATAGCATGGCTTGGCCAAATCCTTCTAAAGATTTGGATTCCAGGGAGCAACTGGAAAGAATGACAAGTTAAAAGGCTTTTTGCTCTTGAGAGCAGCTCGGCAGAGAAGGACCTGGGGGTCCTGATGGACGAGAGACTGAACATGAGCCAGCAGTGCGCTCTGGCAGCTCGAAAGGCAAATGGGATCCTGGACTCCATCAGGAGAGGGGTGGTCAGCAGGGACAGGGAGGTGATCGTCCCTCTCTACTCGGCTCTTGTGAGGCCCCATCTGGAGTCCTGTGTCCAGGTGTGGAGCCCTCAGTACAAGAAAGACATTGAGATTTTGGAAAGGGTCCAGAGGAGGGCGACTAAGATGATCAGAGGGCTGGAGCACCTCCCCTATGAGGACAGGCTGAGGGAGTTGGGCTTGTTCAGCCTGGAGAAGAGAAGGCTGCGGGGTGACCTCATTGCAGCCTATCAATACCTGAAGGGAACCTACACCCACGAGGGGAGTAAACTCTTCAAAAGGGCTGACAACAGCAGGACTAGGGGAAATGGATCCAAGTTGAAGGAGGGAAGATTTAGGTTGGATGTTAGGGGGAAGTTCTTTACAAGGAGAGTGGTTAGGCCCTGGAACGGGCTGCCCAGGGAGGTTGTGGATGCCCCGTCCTTGGATGTGTTTAAGGCCAGGTTGGACGGGGTCCTGGGCAACCTGATCTGAATGTGTGTGTTTGGTGGCCCTGCTAGGCAGGGGGGTTGGAACTACATGGTCCTTGAGGTCCCTTCCAACCCGGGTGATTCTGTGATTCTGTGATTCTGTGGATGAACTAGCTACTACATCTTGTCTCCCCTTCTGACTCACAGGTGTCTTACGTGAAGGCCATAGACATCTGGATGGCCGTGTGCTTGCTGTTTGTGTTCTCTGCACTTCTAGAGTATGCTGCTGTCAACTTTGTGTCCCGGCAGCACAAAGAGCTTCTCAGGTTCAGAAGGAAGAGGAGGCATCATAAGGTAATACATAAGGCATGAAGGATATGGCTGGAATCTCTCTCAGCTTCATCTCTCTCCATCACTTCGTGGCCAACTGTCCAGGGAAGTCCCCTGTATATGGTCAGATAGTAAGGAGGGCCATGCACCAAGGAGCAGGGCAAGCTCAATAAATTTTATCTTTTTTAGCAGCTTGCTTGACCCCAGGGGTCTAGCAAACTGGTTTTTGTTAGTTAATTGAGCAATCTAAGCAAAAAGGTTGTTCTCATCAGGAAACAGAGAGATGTTCTGTTCCAAGCCCTCTTTATAAAACACAGCAATGGCTGGGGAGGCGTAAGGGATAACAGAGCATCCCCCCAACAAGTCAGTCTACATTAGTCTGGAGGTAAGTGACACCACTTTTGTCTCTATTATCTGCAACTGCAAAAGCTTCTGCTGCTCAGACTGACTGCAAATTCCTCTTGGAAGAAATACACATTCTTCACAGCCTTAGCCTTGCTCCATGCTCATTCGCTATAACTGACGCCAACCCAAGCATGCACATGTCCCAGAGACATGCACCCCCTGCAGCCTGGACTCTACATGCTTTTGGGCTGAGGTAGCACAGCAAAAAACTAATTCCAAAGGATGCACTAGAAGGAAACATAAAGGTGACTGAGATAAATTAAAAGCTGCCTTTAATTAACTGGTAGAATCAGGTGGCAGTATCAGTTTTTATCACCAGCCCTGGTCTATCCAGGACCAGGGGTAACACGAGGAAAACAAAGTTACAGATAGGACCATTGGCTGCCATTAATTTCATCAGCCCAGAGGAAGATCCTGCCATCTCTAATCAGCTGCTTTTGGTCAGAAGATGTTTAGTAGAACCAAGTAAAACCACTCATCGTGCTTTTCTATCTTCATCCAGATTCAAGCATCCTCTCTCTCTAAGCCCTGCTGTTTCAAGCAGATCACTCTAGACTACTGTTGATAAAACAATAAGAGGGAAAGGATACACTAGCATACAGAGGAGCTTAAAAGATATTTCTCAGAGTTGTTCCACTGAACACAAGGCTGCTATTGCAATCCCTGCCTAATCTCACAGCACTTTTAATTGGAACAAAGCATAAACAAAAGCACTTGAAAAAGCAAAATGAACAAGGTTTGCAGGCTCATCAAAAAACTGGGAGCTGACTGCAGATATGTAAATGGATTAGTACAGCTGCCAGAGAGCCTAATTGCTCCGTCTCTGTGTCCTGATGTGTCTGAGTAGTTCTGCCTGGGTCAGGCAGGGCATGCCTGGCTGAAAACAAATGAGATGCTGCACTGTTCATACTGGCTGAGAAAGGACTGCATTTATTAAATCTGCCCCAAATGGAACCCACTGGTCACTCTTCACAGCAAAATACCCCAGACCACGTGTCACAGTCTGGCGATAACACAAGTGAATCCAGGCACATTTCTTTCATAATTTCCTCAGAATTAGACCCAAGGTAATGGTTCATAAGAATATTTCTTCCTTTTTTAAAAATAGCTGTTGTCAGGTTTTAGTTGGCTCTTTCCACCTCTTACCCTCCTTCTCTTGGGAGGGAGAGGGTGAACTAGACTAGAAACTCTGATTAGACAGCTCTCTCTGAACCCTGACCTACATCCATATTTACTGGGTGATAGGTCTTGTGGGAGCCACAGTGACTGCAGCAGCTAGGGAGATAAAATTGAGCTATCTTTGCATCAGTGCATCCGTGTTTGTGCAAACAGGGAACAGCAGAGGCAAGTTTCACTTTTAACTGCAGAACAGGGATGTGATGGTTAAGAGGAGGTCTATAAGCTCTCAGCAGCTCTCGTTATTGCTAGGTGCTCAGCATCGAGGATCAGCCAGCCCCAGGATCACTCAATTACTAGGATCGCTCAGCTCCAAGAGCATCTGGATGCTGATTTCTAGTGCCTCAATATTCCCAACCAGGCACCATAATGAGGCAAAGACATTTAAGAACTGTCTCAGACACCAGCGACCAGATGGAGCACAACCAGAGCAGGGAAGAAACTATCCAAAGCCTGCACAAATTGTCTCAGCAAGAACTCTGATACAGATAGTCTCGCTGGTAGGTCATACAGCTCAACAACCTGCCACCCTGCCAAAAAAAAAAAAGGAAGAAAAAAAAAGAAAAAAAAAAGGCTTGATTTTGTTTGGTTTTGCTCAGATAACACCAATGTGCTCCTCCCTCTGCTTGCCCAGCTCAGAGCCAGCACAGTGCCTCCATCCCACGCAGCTACCCACTTGGTGCAGGGGCCATCCAGAAAAGACACTCTGCAAAGAGAAAAGACAGGGCAGAAAGGCATGTAGAGCTGGTAGATCAAAGGGAAGCGGTCAGGACGACAGCAGTAGGACACCAGACTGTGATGGGGGACACGGCATGCATCAGCCAAAGTGGCATTAATTAGTGCCATTGGTCTAGAAACTAGCCTTAGTGACCTGTAGTCAAGACCCTGGAGTTTCTGGCCCTGCCTATGCAGCTGATGGGCAGGTTGTGTTATCATAGCCACACTTAATTTTCCTTATGATTACATCTTCATATACAATAAAATAGGGCTCTGAGAAGCCTGCAAGGCATCCACCAAAAAGCAGTAGCTTGCTTTTAGGTTGGCAAATGAAGGATTTTTTTCTGCTCAATAATTTGAATTAACATAGTGAGCCATGCCTTAGCACTGGCACATGGAAAAGGCATGTCTGTTCCTTGCCTAGCAGAGGGCCTGGCAGAGAGGGGCTGGGGATAAGGGATGTCCTGCAGGCAGGTGGGCTGAAGGCTGGTGGTGTGCTGCCTGCAAAGGTCTTTTCCTGGACGGGTCTTGGTGCCTGCACGTCCATGTAACTCTGCAGGAAGCCTCACTTCAGCTGCATGAGTTACATGGAGCCCACTCCTTCTGGGCATACTGGTACCCCATGGGCAATGCAAAGAAGGTGCTGATGGTAGTGGGGGGAGGGAGGGGCAGAAGCAAACCAGGGGATGCAAGTGAAAAAATAAATGCAGTACTTTAAACCATTGAAGTTTATGTCAAAGATACGAATGGGGTAGAAGCCAGTTCTCCGCTGGGTGCCTGGATCCCCTGATTTGCGTCTGTGCATCATGCAGCTGGCACCCCTCTATAAGGCTGCTCTCCTGAGGAGTTGTACAGTAGAGCTGAGGCCGGGGTGTGAGATGGGTATTTTGCCCTTACAGAGCAGGGAGCAGTCAGCGGAGAGCCTTATAGCGAGGGTGCACTGTCTATATCTCATTTTAAGTAGAGTCCCATGCTGAATCTGTTCCAGGAGGATGACACCGGTGAAGGCAGGTTCAACTTCACCGCCTATGGGATGGGGCCAGCTTGCCTACAAGCCAAGGATGGCATCTCTGTCAAGGGTGCCAACAACAACAACACAGCCAACCCGGTCCCCCCGCCGTCCCGCTCCCCCGAGGAGATGAGAAAGCTCTTCATCCAGAGAGCCAAGAAGATCGACAAGATCTCACGCATTGGCTTCCCCATGGCGTTCCTCATCTTCAACATTTTCTACTGGATCATCTACAAGATCGTCCGCAGAGAGGATGTGCACAACCAGTGAGGGAAGGAGTGCAGCTGGGAGGGAGAGAGCAATCCTTTATATATGTGCAATAGCAATGCAGCAATGCATGAATTTAAGAATGTGGCAATATCTACTAAAAAAAAGGGGGGGAGGGGGGCTGGGAGGGACTTTTAATCGTGTGAACCAAGGTTAAGAGGCACAGGGAGGAGAAAACAAGCTCTTGAGTTGGGGAGCGCAAGGGTGGGGTTTAGTTTTACAGCATAGGAAGGTTTGGATTGCTCCAGCTGCAATCCAAGCATTGTAATATATTAATATATATTCATGCTTAATTATAACGCAAAAGAAAACAATCAAAAAACGATGAAAAAAATCCTTTTTTTAAAGCCTGTTAACAGCTTAGATTCAAGTCACTGGAATGATCCATAATTCCATGTGCAGAAACGACCACAATCACGCTTTACCTGACTTTTGCTATAGAAAGGCCATACCAGTAAAGCACGTGGGGGAAATAAAGCCCTAACAAAAGGGGGAAAAAAGGCAAGAAAATAATTCTATGCTTCTCTAGGTTTCACACTTAGAAAACCAGATAGATGGGGAAACTCAAGGAAGAGGCTGTGGCTTGTTGTTTATTTTATATATTTGCTTTTTTAGTCACGAGCTTGCTGATCAAACTTTATGACTTTCGGATAGAGGAAAGCAAATACATTCTCTCTCTCATCCCCATCAGAGAACATCCAATGGAAAATCCAAGAAGGACATCAGGGCCTTCATCAGCAGTCACAGGTACCTTCCGTCCTTTTAAACGACCTGGCAAGATTTGAGTCCCAGGCGTCAGAAACACCATTCAGATCATTAGAAACGATGAAGGATTTTTCAAATTGCACTTTCTGTTTTCCAATCCCTATCCTGCCATGTTTGTTTATAATGCGGGGGATAGAAGCGTTGGGTGAGTTAAAGCATAAATTCTGTTCAAAACCTGGGCACATTGATGCCTTGTCACAACAGAAATGGGCGAACGGCAATATTCTCAGTGAGGGGGGGGTGGGGGGAAGGTGTGTACAGAGAGAGCAGTTGTTATTTTCAGACATTTCATAGCACTAATATTAATAGTGAAGTTGGGCCAAAGGACCCTAAACTCTATTTTTGTAACTATTTTGGTGCTGTATTTAGCTTTAATGTGGATGGGAGAACGGAGCAGGCTGCTTCGCCCCTCTCTTCCCTAGGGAGGCTGGGAGGGAGTGCTGGGGATGGGGAAGAAGGGGAGGGAACAAAGAGGTCTTCCTTTGGCCAATGTTGGCACAGGTTGGCGTCGGTGTCTGGGGGGGGGGAGGGACATGCCAGGTGTCTCTGGTGTGTTATGTGGAAGGCCTGACTTGGGGCAGGCATGGGTAAGGGCGATCTGGTCTTGTTTGTTTGCACTTTAGCAAGTCAGGTAAAAGGGATTGGGAAGGAAGACAATCGGTCTGCACTGAAGCACTTGGCGTAAGGTCTGGATTAGGCACTAAAAGGCAGAGAGATGAGTGGCACCCAGGGATGCTCCCATTCTCCCTCCATCTCATGCTCAGGACTGCTGGCCTGGACTGCAGGTCTGATGCTCACACTGGGAGCACACAGACTGCCTTTTGCAAAAGCTGCACCCCCATCGCACCTAGAGCAGCTCATAGCAAAGCGCCCCCAGGCACTGCCATCCCCAGGTCTGCAGCACCCCAGCAGGAGATGGGAGGCTGTGGGGCTACGTACAGCCACCCGTGTCCCAGTCAGCATAGCAACAGACAGCTATGGGACAGGGCAGTGAGCACAGGGACCTGCCAGCTGTCCCAGCGTGGGGTCAGTGCTGAGAGGAGAGAGCAGGAGAGCAAGGCTCTCCTGGGCTCTAAAAAGGGACACCCATCTCCAATGGTGCCAATTTAGCACCTTTCACCAGCACTAACTACACTTTACTTAAAAAAAAAAAATAAATAAATAAAGAAAAAAGAAAAAAAAGAAAAAAGAAAGAAAAAAGAAACAAATGAAACAAAAGGAAAAACAAAACCAAAAGAACAAGAAGGGAAAAATAAGAGGGAAAAAAAAAGCAACTGTCACTGTGTGGACTAGGGCAAATGGCAATATTTCCTAACATTTTGGCAAAGGCCACCTATCTTTGTCTCCCTTGGCACTGCTGGGATCGGGAACGGTCATGCGATACCAGTGTGAACCAGTACATCAGCTTCTTTCCTCTATTCAAACAACAGAAAAGCTGTGGGCTGAGGATTGATTCCCCCTTCCCCTGGCAGACAGTGCTTTCCCAAGGAGGGAGATCTCAAGCTGTTGAGCAGAGCCGCTATCTGATGCTAGGACAACTTTCTGAGCCTTGGCTGCAGCCCAGGCCTGCTGCTGGCTCTGGTTTTGCTTGCTGAATTATTGAACTCTCTCTGCGTGCTCGACGGCTGGGTTTGCCAACTGCAGGTTACGCGATCGCTTTAAGCAGCTCATCCTTGTCTGAGACAACGAGCAAAACTCTCAAAACGAGAGTTCTCCCACCTGCCTGGCAGCAGAGAAACAGCCATCGTTCTGCTCTGGCTTAGAAGTGGGTCAGGAGTCCAAAGAACAACCCATACTTGCCCTAGACCTGCCAATTAGAAACATAGATAAGCTCATAGTCACTTCTTGGCAGTAGGTAAGGCAAAAGGAAGGCAAACGAGGGGGCTGGAAATCATCATCAGGGTACCTATGTTACCCTATAGAAGTACTTTGGCTGATAGAGGAGCCCACGCTAGTTTAGGGACAGAAATAAGAATTACATGCTTACCTTCTCGCCTCTGCATCCACTGCAGCTCTGCCAACTACTCAGCACTTGATGCTCACCATAAGCAGCATTACTTTCTCTTCATTAAGCAGCCAGTTTCCATTCGGGCCATCTTCCAGACCCAAAGCTGCACGGTGGAAGGGAAAACTCACAGCCGGACATGGAACACACTGGGGTTTTGGCAAAGGTCTGATGCTGCTGATAGCTGTCCCACAGACGTTCTGCCAGATCACTTCACCACATAAATGAGACCTTGGGACTGTCCTAGGAGGACATGGAAAATCTGTGGGATTTTCACAGTGAAACACAAGAAAGCACAGATGAAGGAAAACATTAATTTCTGTACTGCAGCAGAACTTGCTTTGATAACCTATCTCATCTCCAAAGCAGGCTGCTTTACTAGTGCCAACAACTATATTTATTAGTAAAAGGTATAGGACTTTGATATTGCAGGGCAGCTTCCAGGCATATTGATGCAATTTAAGTTGTTATCTTTCTTTAAACGCTGGGCTCAGAGGCAAAACCTCTGAATAAAATCAACAGTGATCGGTCTGGCAGTAAGGTCCTAATTCACTTGGACTCTTTGGAAAAACAAAGCCTTATCCCAGAACAACATCATTTCCAGATGTTGCTGAAGATGTATCACATCATAAACGGGTAAGGTAGGATAGACTTACTACTTTTTGCTTGGGCAGGTGGGTTTTTCACTCTTTAATTCTCAGCAAAAGCAGCTCTCCAGCTTGGATCCCATGGACAACCAGGATTGGGGCTGAAGAAGTTCCAATGCAGAGCAGGGAGCGCTGCAGCTGCGAGGCTCAGCCCTGATGCTAGCCAACACCAACTTGCCTTCAAACACGTTTGAATGCTTGTGACAGGGGTCACACAGTGCTGCAGCCCTCCTGGGCCAGACCTTCCTGGAAAGTTTGTTTTGCACTTTTTACTTCTTTTTTTAGTTTCCTCCACTTCTGAAGATCTTTATTTTTAAGTCAAACCCGAGGACCATGGAGGACTATAGAGGACCATGCTTGATGATGGCTGCAAAAGGTTATAAGCGTGTATTTTTAAAGAAAGGAATGTGTGACAGAAGAGTATTTTAAATGGCATCATATTTTTCACAGATTTTCTGCAGTCCTATTTTTGTACTTTCGTACCATTCCTTAAAAAATCCACAGCTCCTCTCCTTATACCAAATAATGACAACTTCGTCCCTTTCAATGGCCCAGCATCTGGAAGCATCTGAGCCCTGCAGGAAGGCATCTTCCCTCTCCTGTCTTGTCTAAGGGAAATGTGTATGGTACCTTCTGATGTTCCTCCTTCTCAATGCATTCCAATTGTTTCCACAGAGGCAGTATGCTATTTAAGTAGAAAATTAGTCACTTGATTGCTCTTTAGAGTGCTGGGATGAGCATCAAAGCAGAAGTTAACAATCGTTAATTTAACATCTCCAAAGTTACTTCAGGTCCATTCCATCTTTGCAGCCCCTCTCTCCTTCACCTGAACAAGTATTTTATTTCTTATTGGCTGTTTTGCATCTCAGTGAACCCAGCTGCTGAGTCTCTTATCTCATTCAGAAATATCACTTTCTTCTGCATTCACCTCCCTTCTTCCTTCCCTTGAACTCTCATTTCTGTGGGGATACATTCCTCTGCTCCACAGCCTTTGTAGGACCTGGCACGGGTTGCTAACTAGCAAAATGCAGAATGAAACAGAACAGCATTCCTCCCAGCAGTCAGGGCAGCAGCTACCGAATAGGCTCCCCTGCAGCAACTGCACCCTTTGTGAAAGAAAAGCAGTGTAAGAGAAGAGAGAAGGCAGAGCTGCAGCTGTTTGCCTTACGCAGCTCCATGTTTTTCAGTGAGGCAGCTATTCACTGGGAATTGGGTTCTCATCTTTTCAGTATCCTGCCACCAGCAACCGTAAGGTAGAAGAAGAAATGGCTTCCTGTGAATTAGGCAGCGTGTGAGGATGTTTTGCACAGGGTGTCAGCTGGCACCTATGCCAGGCGCTGCCTTGAGCTGATGGGGAGATGCTGGTGCTCACACCAAGTCATCCTCCCAGAAACACTGGGCAGCCCTAGGGGATGGACAATGCCAACACTGAGACAGCACTGAAGGACACAGCCTGGACCGGTGATGCTGGAGTTCGCTCAGCAGAGATGCAGAGGGTGAGAAATCCTGCCTGGGATCTCCCTCATTTGCATGCCTCATCAGCATCTTCTGTCATTTAAAGCAGAAAGTGACAACATGTATGTGCCATTATCAAAGCTGTCAAGAGAAATTAGACTGTACAGAGCAAATGATGAACACTGAGAAGCAAACTGCAGTCAGAGCCCTCATGCACTTCAGCGTCAGGCTTCCAAACAGGAATAACAGAGTCTTGGCATTGTGGTACTGCATCTCTTGTGTCTATTGCACACTGAGCCCTGAAGCCCACACTGGGACACAGCCAACTCCTGGCAGCAATGGGGATGGAGAAAGCAGGGCTTGACCCAACACACAGTGGAAGGAGCCTCAGCACAGTGAGATGCTTCTGTTTTGGGGGAAGTCAAGGGTGGCCCCACAGCAGTATGGGAACCTCACCAGTTCCTAAAACAGTGCTGCTGGGACCTGAAGGCTGTTCTTAGCACTGGCACCACCACTACCAGTGGCAAGAAACATAAAGCACAAGGAAGGGGCACCTCAACCATTTGCAAGCAGGGCAAATACTCAGCAAGGGGAGAGGATACAAAAATCTCTCTAATTCCCAGCCTGAGGTTGAAGGACATGGACACTGCCACTGTAAAACCAGTTGTCTTTAACTGGGCATGAAATGATAACACCAAGGAAAAAAAAAAATAAGTCTAGCTTGAAAGTAGATTCTATTTATAGATTCACTACTCAAAATGTAGAAGCAGCTCATGTCAAACAAGGTCACCTGCAGAAAGAACTTGGCTACACCCTATTGGGGCACAAGGCACCATCATTGATTACGTGCCATGTCTCCATGCTGCAAGCCATGTCTTTATTGCTGCAGGTGAGTGAAGCTTAGCATAGGCAGGGACAGGTAGAGCCAGCCTGGAGCAGCCAGGGCCAAAAGGCACAGGAATTCAGCATCCGATGGTGCTGGAGTTTTGGGGAGCTGAGTCACAGGCAGTACTGTAGCAAGATGGAATGGCCTTCCCCTGAGGAAGACAGGTCTGGCTTATTTAGACACCCCAAT